CAGACCAAGAAGCGCTTCCTTGAATTCAATACTTTCATCTATAAAAAAGAAAAGAGAATAATTATCTAAACATGACTAATTACAAAACGTTGCGTTGCCCACGTTTACGTTACATTCAAGCACCGATAACTTTTCAGCTTACGGGATACGGGATTCCGTTTAAACCAGTTCTGTTGAACACAAAAATCCAGTCTGAATATTTGGTTATATGAAAATATGTGAACATACCTCCCTCCATCCACAACATAAATCAAAGGCAATCCGCAAATTGTCAAAGTAATTTGACAAAATGATGAAGATTATCCGCGATGAACTAGAGTCGCGTCCAGGGGGGTATTTCGATTTTGAAAATCAGTTTAGTTTAGTAACAAATTCTTACCAATTCTAAACACTGACAACGCTTTTGGGAAACATCTAAGCAGTTTCTGTAGAAGAAAATCAAAGCAGAATCACCCGTCAGCAAAAAGTGAAACGGAGACAGCTTTAACAGTACACTTAACATGGCAGCCACAAAACAATGAGACGGTGGCCATGTTGGTGTCCCAAATCAATCCTGTGGGAATTCATCTCATTTCTTATGTAAACAATTTCTTTAGTTCCAATAAATTTGCTTGGCTGCTGGCCACGTGAGTGCAAACACTCTGTCAAACCTTACCCATGCAGTGTCTCTCAAAACAGCATTATCTCCTATCTGGAAAAAAAATAAATAACAACCAAACAGATTTAATACAAAAAGGACTAATACTAGTGTTGCCGGCGTGGCTTACATTGCATTATTACAATTGCACCTTTTGCTTGTGGGCCTCGTGGTTGACTGCTAAGACAATCATCTCAATCATCTCAATCAATCAATCAATCAATCAATCAATCAATCAATCAATCAATCAATCAATCAATCAATCATGTCACCACACGGAAAAATGAAATGATCTTCAAAGTGTGTTGGTAATTCAAACAGTTGCCTCTTCTAGCCTAAAATAGGTTATAAAAGAACTGGAACCAATGACCTCCACTTTAACAGTTCATTGCGTTATCAGTTGAGTAATAACGCCTTGATACATTGGGAGCAATCAACGTGTAAATCTCCTAAATATTTATTACCTCAACCATAAAAGAAATGATGAACGAGAGAATATCATTCATTGTTTCAGAAGAGAAAGGTAATAGCTGAGCAGAGAAAAGATAACAATTGTATTCGAGGATATACTAGTTTAGTTTGTAAAGTACAAACCCCACGTCCATGAAGGATCATCTGTGAAAATTCTGCCATGATGCAGTCCAATAAGCAAACAGCAAGCTGCAACGGGAAAGTTGATTTGAAAACAAAAAACATTCATTAATTAACGGATTTATTATCCAAGTTATAATTTCTGGTTTTTGAGCAAAGGTTCGCTTAATCATTTTGTCCAGTCTGCGTTTACAGAGGCCAATGCAGTCCCTGTGATTGGTTGGTATTTGCGCGCGAAAATTCGTAACCCGGCTGGCACCAACCAACCATGACTCTGTAAAGCTTCATCATCAGAACGCAATTTTTGGGTCAAATTTCAGACGTCCACGTCCTGTGTGTGGGGGGTGACTGAAAAAATACAATCTTTGCTTTTTCCTTTTAGGCACTTCTGCTATCGTTGTTGTATTGCCGGTATAAACCGGTAAAACCCAAGCACTAGTTACATGTTTACCTTAAAAGGTTAGTTCAAATGCACGACAAGCACAATCATAAGCCGAAGCTACTGAGCAAAATTTAAAAAGAACGACACGGTAGCCTTGTCCCTATAAACAACTTTTTCATAAAACTAAAACTAAAACAAAAAAATTGGTTGAGCTTGTGCAGCTGTAGAGATAACTAGTCGAAAAGTAGCTGGGTGATCTTCTTACGACACGTTTAATTTTGGTTTTTGTAACAATTAGAATTTGAGGCTTGCATGATTTCAGCTGAAACAACGAAACAGGTAATAAACTGCTGTCACTAGCCATGGCTGGATGATCACAGAAATGTTAGAGCACCTCTCGAGTTCAATCGACATTTACTCACCTTTCTTCCAAACGCGGTTGGAGTTTTACTTTCCCGAATAAAAATCGTCATAACTTTGCTAAAATGAAGAAATAATTGAGGTGTAAAATCAATATAACTTGGACGGGACGGCTGTCAAACGCAGGTTGCAATGTAATCCCTATCCCCCATCATCCCAACCACTAAACTGATTCCACAACAATTTACTGGCATTCGTTTACACTCCAGGGATTGGGACAGGCACTGTGAGAATTTCTTGTCTAAGCCAGACCTTTAGCGTTAGGCCATT